GTATCATACATGTTTTGTGTCATACAACATTACATAAGTCATAAGGTTCATCTCGTTCGCGGTAGCCTTACCATATCCAAGGATGCTCTACGAGCAAATGATGCGAATCGATATAGTGTGCACAATACTCTCACTTCTATGCCGTCGAACTTGGATTTAGGCGAACGTTGGAGGCTTAAACTTGGGGCTCATCTATCGTATATATTCGCTAATTCAAGATGCTGCCTGATGAACGTTTCACTTGTGACGCGTATAATCTACCATGTCAAATGTGTATAATTCTGTTTCCACAAAAAAAAGATACTGCCTGAATATCGTCTTGTCAAGGGGACTAGAAGATCTTAACTCTTCCCTGCTGCGGTCTCCGTGCTTCAAGTTTCAGGAGTTGGATCGTTCTCGCTGTAGTTCGCCTCTCTGGAGGAACCACACTGGATCAGTGTACTTATATTTGATAAATCACCATACTTGTCACATCCGAGTCTAGGATAGTGTTGATGTGGAGAGACGCTGCCTCATCCACAACCCGAGTACGGTTTCTGTGAAGGAGCTCGTCGCTCACTACGGGTCGCGCGACATGGCCTCGGAAGGAGCTCGCATCATGCGAGTCGCATGGCAGAGTTTGGCATCATAAATGCTGCTTCACGGACCACACTGTCCATTATGCCTGGCGTAGCTCCACAGTCATCAAGTCGTAAGCTCGACCCACCGAGCAGGAGAGGGTCGATCCACTCATCACTATCGTCCCTAGGGGTACCAAAGGGTCACTTGACTAGAGTGGTACCTCCATATTTCTCACAGGCGGAGGACTCGTTCGTCCTGGTTAAGTCCCCTCGTGAAGGTCTAACGTCTTTGGTGGATCAATCGTTCTCGACAGTGAGAGCGGCCGCTGCTGTAGACCAGGCTGGAATTGGCGGAGGTTTCATCGACCTGTTAGAGGAACTTATAGAATTCACGTTAATAAAACAACCACAGCGGAATCTTTATACACATTTACAGGGAAAGTAGTATACGGGAAATATCTATATGTTTTTCTGGCTCTTCGTAATACACGGCGAGCGTAGTGACTGTGGTGATGGCCTTGGGACAGCGTGAATGTGGTTATCGACTGTCTCCCTGACTGACAGTCACCTCAAGTAGTACGGTTCTTTCTCAGGCTACCTTCTCCCAGGAGTACTCCAATCAAACCCTCGTCGGCCTTCTCTGGGTGTTCCTTCCCACCCCCCTCTGCGCGCTCCACAGTTGCTTCTGCTCGGACGGTGAGGATCCTTGTCTCGCTTCACTTGACCACTGCTCTCAGACAGCAGCCCAGTCCAATCGTGAATGTCCTCGACCAACTTTCTCGGATAGATCGGTCCCGTTGACAGCACGAAGTTCCCACCGGACGACTCTCTATAGTAGACCATTAGGGCTCAGAGCCTCAAGCCTCGGCCCGCTGACCAGAGGGTGTCCCAATGGGAGATAGCGTTACATTGCGTGTAGTATGTCATCGTGAAATGTATGCCTTCTAGCTGGAATTTGTTTGTTTCGTGGTAGTAGTAGTAGATAGGCACACGATTAACCGAGTTATTGTTTCTCAATGTCGTGAAAGATCGGTGATGCGAAGAGAGCGCAGCGCTCGTCGACTGGGCCCGGGATATATTGCAGTTTGGTCGAAGTCATTTCCTTCTGACTTGGGTGAAGTCTTGGTGGGATGTGGTCCCATGTGGTGTTGAGCATATTGATAAGCTCAGGCCCGATCAGGAGAGGTGAAGGTTACCATGACTGCCAATGCGGTCTCTCTGTCGCAGCACTTTGTCTCTTTCTTGGAGGGGGGAGTAGGAAAAAAAGGCTTTGTAGGAGGCTCTCATCGGGTCTTCAAAAACTGTACCAGGGGCTCCTGGGCAATATTCAGCACAACGAGATGGTAGGTACTTTAATGTTTGGGCTAGAGTGGAAAAGGCTCGTAGTGTTCAAAGTGAAAGGAAGAGGGACGTGAGTGTGTGGTAGCCGAAGTGGGTGGGGAAAAGGCGGCATTGGAATGTTGAGATTGTCTGGGGAAAGGGTGTACACAACTGGAAGGGAAGGCGGGACTGGCGGTTGGGGAGAAGGGGAAGACGGTCTCAGCTTGGATGGTAGAGTTTGGGTGTTATCCTAGTTGACTAGGGCAAGGGGGAAGGGAGTTGATCCTACTACGGATGGACGGGCTTGACGTTTAGAGGTTCACAATCACGGGTAGTTCAGCTCATTCGGATGCTGTGTGCTGGGCCGTGCACGAGATGATCATAAGGGAGGGAAAAAGGATGGAAGAGTCAAAGGAAGCTAGAGAGGCTTCTAGTTACTGCTGTGTATGGGATTGGTTTGTGGTATGCTGCCTTGGGGGAGGATAGAAGCTGCTGCAGGTATCACTGCTTACGACTTACACTTCACCAACGGTGTAGCGAGCTGGTCGTAAGGGACTTGAATGTGACCAGCAGCCGTTGGAGTAGCAGTCGGAGCAATGGAGGGCACATTGAGAACCATGCAACATTTCATGGAGTGAATTCTTGTGTTGAGTTGTCTAGTAATACGCTACTGTGGCGAAGCTTCATGCAGAGAGTACCCACTGGGTATATGTCTTGTATGAGGGAATATCTTGATAACCTTTCTGTGTTGAGATGGAGGGCTGACGGTGTTAATAGGCTCACCTATTACTACACCTCTCCCTATGAGAGTTCGATAAGTAAACGCACAAGTTCGACAGCGTTACGCGTATGGATATCAACGTGCTACGCACGTTTGACACCTTCTCAAGGGCCCCACCCGAGTTTGCCAGAGTGACATTCAAGTTTGACACTATTCAAAGCAAGTTTGACATTGTCACGAATGTTATATCATCGGTGATCCTATTGGGACTTGACAGGTTTCGGTAGTACCGGAGGCTCTAGCCTGGAGACAAAGTTTTCACCTTAGTTTGAGCTCGGTTACGACAACGATGAGAAAACAGCAAAGAAGTCTCGATTGGGGTCGAGCTTCGCATAGGAGTAGTCCTGTCGGGAAAGACGCTTCAACGTTGACTCATGAGTTCTGGCTGTTCGAAAATCCTATTATAAACTTCAAAATCGACAGGATTGATCTCAAATTTTGAAGCCGGCTCGTTGTAAATCCCGCTGCATCCACGGACCTGAGGGGGACCTGCGGGTCCGTGAGTTTATGGGCGCGCGCTACTTACAAATCCGAGGTGCATGCAAACTGCAGGTAAAGTGCAAGATTTGATTCGCCTTCATGCAACCGTTTCATTTTTGCCGTTGCAGAGTTGAGTTGGCCTCGACCATCACCTACCACTTCTAATTTGATCATCATGAGCATTTCCGCTGCTGCTGGTGCTGAGGCTACTGCTACTCAGCCTGCTCCCACTACTACTATTCATGGTGGCACCACGGGTCAGGTTCCTCCCACTTCCTACTATGTTCAGCCTGGTACTACCTCTCAAGTCCAAGCGCCTCAAGGTCCCATGATTGACGAGAAGATTGTCCAGAAGCAGAAGGAGAAGGCCTTGAGGGAGTTGGAGTCCCGAGTGAAGCTGGCCTTGCAGCAGCACGAGCAGATGTATCAGCTACAGAGGTCTCACATCATGGCTGATCATGACAGGCAGATGGAGTACACCAAGGCTACCATTGAGAAGGAGCGTCAAGCTGCTATGTTCGACTTGGAAGGTCAGTATCAGACCAACACTCGAGGGCTCGAGCAATCGGCCATTCAGCAGCGGATGCAGATTGAGACTACTGCCATGCAACTTGACATCCAAGCTCATCAGCAGAAGATGATCATGGAGCACCAGGAGCGCGAGAAGAAGTGGACCGGTCAGCCTGCTGTGGCTCAGACTATTGCGGCTCCTCAGCCTTATGTTGCTCCTACCACTTATAGTGCTTACGGTCAACCTGGTGGGACTATGACTTACTCGACTGCTGTTCATCAACAGCAGCCACAG